ATTCACCAAGAAGCTCCATTAAAGATCTCCAATGAATGCTAATTTAGCCCATGTTCGTGCAGCCCTTTCTGAAATGTCTGTTGAGGAAGTAGTATCATTGCTTGCTAGACATACTAATGGTCACTTCCTGGTATTCTCTCATGGGATGTTATAAAAGCCTAATACCCAACAAGCCAGACCCAAAGTGTCAGGGATAAACAGCAGGCCTCTCATCAAGGTAATCTTGTCTGTTTCAAAACATGAGGGCTCAGCCCAGGGCTAACCCCAGCCTGAAGTGGGCAAAGAGCCCCAAGGTTACAGCAAAAGTCATATCAACCTGATTAGCCAAGGACCAAACCAAGCCACACTTCACAGATAAATTACACATTTTGTTTTTTCCTGTGTCCACTGGAAGGCTAACTGTGTGAAGACTGGGGCTTAGGAGAAGAGGATGGTGAGCACGGTTTGTCTTGCACACAAGAATAGGGTATGGTTCCTGACCTCAGACGTCTCATCAATGCAATGCCATTGAGAGCTGCTATCGGCCTTCTGAGATGAGAATGCTCTTGCAATTGTCTAGGTAGGCCTTGGGGGAGATACAGGATTTGAAATGTCTTAAAAGAAGAGGAGAGAGATTTCAGGTGGGAACAAGAGCATAAAAGAAGAGAACAGTGTGGTGAAGAACAATAAGGCTGGCTTCCCTGGGATGAAAGGCTCCACTGGCAGAAGAGAGCAGGAAATAGTCTGGATAAATAGTATGGACCAGAATCAGATACTTTGCCTGCATTAGTTTAATGAGGACTATTCTTAGGATCTTGACAAGAGAATGAGGAACGTGTCCTATGAGGAAGATTAATGACACTGCATTAGAGGACAGTGAATTATAGGAGAAAGAAATGAAAGCAAGGATATTAGGAGACTATTAGAGCAACCTAGGAGTAGTCCAGATATGTTAGGACAGAGACCAGAAAAATCCCAGAGACATTACAAAAGATTCAAATGTCCGCTTTGTATTAAGCTACATCCCAGAGTTAAATTCTGGAGCAAACTGTACATTCCTTGTGGACCATGGAAAAACTTGCCAAGAGGGCTAATTTTATCAGTATAGAAATCCAAAGCAGGTAAGTTCACATTCTTCATGAATTTTGGGGATTCCCCCTGTCCCGATTTGCCTTCTTGGGAGAAAATTCTTAATCTCTCCCTTGCTACATGTATAAATGTAGCCCAAAGATTATCATGGGGTTGAGATGAAAATGTAAAATTTTTTATATTTAATCTTGAAATCAATAAAGATATGGTGCTAGGTGATGTGTTCAATCCCAGCCTAACAGGTAATTATAACCAACCTTTACATAGTTACCTCACTCAACATTCACGACAACCTTGTAAAGTTAGTATCAGTATTATTTTTATTTTATAATCAAAGGAACTCAAAGAGGTTAAGCATCTTTCTAAGATCACTCGTTTAGCAAGAGAGAGAGCAGAAATTTGAATTCAGGTCTTTTGACTTCAAAGCCCATGCTCTTTCCTCCAACATCACTGAATTTTTAGTCCAACACTGCAAAGCAGAGGTTTGCCCTCTTTAAAGAATCAGAATTAAAGGATCAGAATTTTAGGTGTTTGTTCTCTTTAAAGGATCAGAATTTTAGGATATAGGCTGATAAGTCTTGACATTTCTTTAATGTAACAAGTTAAGTCTTCATTTAAGAGAGAACAACTTGTGATTTTCTTCCATTGGTGGGCTAGACAGATAATAAAAATGATAGCAAAGGTTATTAAAATTTATATGGAGATCAGCACAGACTGGAATAACTACAAAGTGAATTCTTTAAGCTGCAACAGAAAGGTGGCAAAATAGCACAATATGAAAGAAAACGCTCCTTTAGCTTCACATGCCTAAATACACCATCAAAAGACTGCTCAATTCTCAAATGCCAGTATTTTCTGACTCCTCTAGAACCTATTCTTAAGGCAAAATATCAAAGTCAGCAGGATAGAAGGTGTCCCAAAATGTCTTAATTCAGAGAATTAGTGTTAACTGAGTCTGATTAGCTCCATTTATCTCTAATTAATTACCTTTATCTAATTAGACACTTTGTTTCCAGTAGACATGGAGTCAAGTAGACTAGATTATTAGTGTAGTCATTGTGCCTTTACAAAATCCTGAAATTAATGAAACGTGCAAAAGAATCTGTGGTTCTAATTGCACAGGTGTTGCCTTATGGCAAAGCTTTATCATCTGATTACACCAAGGGGTTATTAGTGACTTTTTATATAGAGGATGAGCCCATGAAATGTACCTTAGCAACAGCTCATTAGTTTAGGGTTGTTACTGTATTATTTATTACATTCAGCCTTCCCCATTATCTAGATTGATTCATGGACCTATACATTTTTCCTTTACTCTGTGCGGGAAAAAAAAGTGAAATAAAATAGACTATCATTATAGAGTCCAGATGCAATGTGGAAAAATGCAAAATGTGTTCATCAGCTACAATTTGACTCTTTAAGACAGAGAGCTCTAAAGTTAGATGAAATCAGAATCAAATTCATTAGTTTTTTTTCTATGGAAAAAGAACCAATTTAAATTACTGAAGAGTATGGAATGATTCATATATGCGATAAAAAAAAAATGTGTCTGTACTAATGCCTTCATATAACTGAACTGGTATAACAAGGTATATGGAAGAAAAAAGCAAAACGTTTTTATACTAAAATATATTTGTATTTACTTATTTTCGCTTCACATCTTTCCAAAGTGGGCCGAGGAGACATTTCTACATATGCTCACCCATGACATAAATAAAAATCCATCTCTTGTTTTACTTTTTGCTTTTTTTTCTTAAGGATTTGTTACCATATGGGGAAAACTAACAAATTATATAATCAAGCTTCACTAAAAAAGCAAGATTTCAACAGCTGCTTACAAATATGTAAAGTGTTTTTTCATGGCAAGGTTAGGTGTCTGCAAAAGACTAAAATATCCCAAGCTTTGTATTTTCAATCTTTTTCCCTCATAACCATTTGAAAAAGCACTGCTTTTCACAAAGAGTAATTAAACAGCCAGAAGTAAACCCAGCCACAATCCTATTCCAACATACAAACATGTTTATTGACAAAGCAGTAATTCCTTTAAATAATTTGTCAACATAAATATGTCAAATGGGTTTTAAAATCATTTCTCTCTCTGTTCTCCAACAAAAATTCCTCTACTGATATAAGCTCTATATCGCCGTTAACTTACTGCTGAATCTAAACTAGCAAAATAATAATGGTAACTACTATATAGAGCATGACAACTAATTTGAGTGGTAATAATGAATATTTAATGATCCTCCTTTCAAGCATGAACATATAACTTTTCATGTATTCCTTACAAAAATTATAACCATTAATCTAAAAATTATATTTGCAACTGAAATAGCCAGGAATTATAGATTATAGCTAAGTCAGAATATTGCATAAACATTCCTTATGAACACAAAAACAAGGGCACGTAGGAAGCTCCAGTCTCCTGCTTTCATTCAATTCAAATCCTCTCTTTGAAATGTATGGAAGTTGTGTGATTAGTCAAGAAGATATTCGAATACAGATATAAAAAGGTATTTCTATCAGTAAATAAGTACAATAGCCAAGGTCAATTTCACTCTTCACTAGCTCATAATTTCTAAACAAAAGTAACATGTATATAAAAATGTGTCCCCTATAGGGGTAATATTTTTAGAATGCTTTACATTAATCAAGAATGAACACAAAATGGATTAGAAATGTAGAATTTAAACTTTAAATTTCATTTTTTATATGTAGGCAGTTTTCCCAAGTGTGTCCATCAGAAACTACAAATGTGACTTTGAGAAAAGAGATCTGAAAAATGCATGAAGTGCTTTAAAATGGGCTTTGTTCACTGATGGAAATTATTTTTGGTCAAATTTCTAAGTTATTTCATTCCTGGTATTCGATAAGATCTGCATAATTTCATATGCCTGCAATGTTGCAAAAAAAAAACACATCTGCCTCCTTTCTTGTTTGGGTTTGCTTTCCTTGTTATGAGGTATTTGAAAACTAGTGCCACTGCAGTCACAAATACACAATTCTACATCAAATCCCAGGACTCTATATATTATTTTTTAATTGTTTTAAAAGGCACATTGTACTTATAAGATTCAAGACAGGAAAAAACCTAATAACGTGGAAAAGAGTAGCCAGTAAAATCTGCAGTTTTTCCCAGTTATAACCCTCTTTATCAGAAATTAAGTGTCCAGTTAGATGGTGCACCATACCGGCCCCAGCTCAGCAACAAGGTTCTGCCTCTTTAGGACTCCAGCACACAGGGCCAGGTGGCATGTACTGGGTCACATTTTCCAATTGTGTACATACTCGATGAACACATTTCTAACTGAGCAGTTGTCCTTGATTAAAAAGCCAAGGCAAGATCAAATGAGAAAAGGAATTTCAAGTGTTCTCTATAAACTATAATATGCTTTAAAACTATAAGATGGTAGCATTCTTAGGTAACACTGCATAAGGATACTAAACTCCTAATGAAGCTTCATTTGTTCACTTCAGCTGTCTTGCTATTGCCCCTACATAGACATGGCATTTAGTCAATAAAGTCTTTGTCTTTCCTGGGTTCTTTCCCGACCTTCCACTCTTGGTTTTCTTCTGATGGAGAAGATTCCTATTAAAGAATGTACACCGATTAATTACTTTAGGAGGTTTATTTTGCTATGTACATATATATAAGCACTACATATGTTAAAGAACATGTTAACAAATATTGAGAAGTCTATGCATCTTTTTTATTTATCCTGCGTTTTACGGCCTTGTTCATCACCTCCTTCCCTGTACCAGCTCATCAAACTTCCTGAGAAGCTGCAGACCAAATTCCTTAGCACTCAGAAGCTCTGAGCAAATACAGAACATGGTAGCAAGATGCAAAAAGTAATGAGACAGACCAAAGACACGCATCAGGGGGACAATTTTTGTTTATCTTGTTTTTTAAGGGATGGGGGAAAACCTAC